CACTGCCAGGGAGCCAGGGGCAGCCACAGCTTCTCTGGGCAACCTCTGCCAGGGCCTCAGCACCCTCACAGGGAAGGGTTTCTGCCTCAGATCTCATCTCCATCTCCCCTCCTGCAGCTTCAGGTCATTCCCCTTGGCCTGTCACTCCCTGCCCTTGTCACCAGTCCCTCTCCAGCTTTCCTGGAGCCCCTTCAGGGACTGGAAGGGGCTCTAAGGTCTCCCCGCAGCCTTCTCTTCTCCAGGCTGAACAAGCCCAACTCTCTCAGCCTGTCTCCAGAGCAGAGGTGCTCCAGCCCTCGGATCAACTTCGTGGTCCTCCTCTAAACTCACTCCAACAGCTCCGTGTCCTTCTTGTCCTGGGGACCCGCGAGCTGGATGCAGCACTGCAGGGGGGGGTCTCACCAGAGCAGAGGGGAAGGAATCTCCAGAGTTTCAAGATCTGCACTAAAAAGCCTTAACAGTCACCAAAATCTACTGAAAAAACTGTAAGTTAAAACACACCAATAAAGACGACCAAATACCACAACTTGTACAGAGTTGCAAGGGCAGCGTTTCAAAGTAAGGGAGAAAATGTTTCTGTTACAGAGTAAGGACGAGTAAGGGACTACAGTGGGAGAAACATGGTGGCACCTCCAAAGGAGAAGACCTACCTTGCCCACGGCAGGACTGCTGGCAGCGTCCTCCGAGCCAAAGTGCACTCTGGCTCTTTCATACGCCATGTCCATGTCCGACTTTGCACCGCTGGAATTGCCTAAAAAAAGATTTTGTATTGCTTGTAATCACCTCCTTTATTACCGTTTCTCAGAAACGGCAGACAGTACACAAAGTTGAGCAACTAGAAAGCAGTATCCTCATGTTCTAACTTATTTCCTGGTTCCTTTGGGCCTGGAAGATCTGATGGGAAATTTAAATCTTCTCATCTGAGTCCATGTATACAATATGCCCCAAAATTCCCACATCCATTCTTTTACAGAGATTAATTATTTTGGGGTAGACAAAACAGAGTCAGTTTGGATCTGAAGATCATCAGGAAGAGGCAAATTCACCAAACAGGCTTTTTCCTGGTGGTTTCCAGGAAATGATTCTTATTTAACTTTTCTCCACTGAAACAAAGAACTTTTTTTTGTACCTGGTATGTTGTAAGAGCTTTCATAGGGAGAATGTTATGATCAGTAACTTCCTTAAGTCTCTCCTCCGCACCCTGATGCCTAAAATAATTTCAGATTTCTACAACTTGCTCAAACTTTCAATGCACGTCATGTGCTGAGACACACACAAGGAATTCCCTTACAGGTCTTACTTATTTCATTCATTAATTTGGAGTCTCTAACAACTTCTATTCCTTACTTCCCAATTTTAATACATCTTAATATTATTAGCTCCTTGGCTGTCCCATCTACCTTCCAGGAACTTATCTGAGATAATCAATAATGCAAATATAACTGGGAAACACTTCCTATTTAATTACCTTGAATATCAGCCTGATGTTTTACAAAATAGTTTAAGAATGATGCAGTTTGCAATTTCCTTTAACAAATAAACTTATAACCATTTCTATCATATTTCTATGCCTAAAATACATCAAAAATATACCTGTTGTTCTTCTGCTTCTTTAAATACAAACTGCTGCTCAAAAATAGGACGAGCCCTTAGGAAAAGCAACTGTCTTTCCTGACTGTTGAATTTTGTTACCTAATAAACTCTGAAAGAACTCAAAACTTTTAATTCTGAATTCCTCCTCCATTTCCCCCACACACTTGAGTTTGCCTCAAATTTCCCTGATCTTTGGAAAGTTAGCTTCTGGAAACATGGAGCTGCCCTATATTTACACACTTATTCAATATGAACACGTGAAAATATTACCCTCCCGTGAACAACTGTCTATACATTTAATTTTAAAAAGACAATTCTTCTATTTCTGATGGAGCTTGACTCCCATCTCCACCCCTGCTCAGACGAGGTGGGAATCCTGCTGTCCAAGGGATACAGACCCACCTCACAGTACTCGTTTCCATGTTATCTACAAATATGAACAAATCTTTGCATGTAGTAAATTCACATCTGCCACTGGGGTCACAACATCATTTAATGATCAGCCTCCAAACAAGAAACCCAACAAGTTGACCCAAGGATTGACAGCAGCAGCACTTAAGATAAAAAAAAAAAAAAAAAGCTGTTGATGTTACTAACCAAATTTTATACACACTGCAACATTAAAGACCCTAAATTACTCATAAACAAAAAAAGCTGGGATAGTAGAAATAGCAGCACGGAACTCCATATGGGCTGATTTGAGTGCCTGTCAATTCTACTGCCCCACAAATCACAGTGTCAGCATAATTACTAAGCCCCAATACACCAAGAGCATTTTAAATCCAAACACACACTTCTCAGGTTAAACCTAAATAATCTGATAACGGGCATGCAGGCGTGAAAAGCATCCTCTGCATAGCTCTACATATTAAAAAATTCAGGGAGTGGAAAAAGAGGCATTCTAGGAGTGAAAGCTTATGTCTACCAGACTCCTATTCAAAGTAGAAGCCTTCATCTCAGTCACAGATATAAGCTTCCCACACAGTGATTAATTACACCGCCTTGTTGCTCAAATGGGAGTTAGAAAGCATACAGCAGAACAAGCTTTAACTGGAACCGTTGAGTCAAAAGAACAGAAGGCAGTGGGAAACTCAAAGTGGAATGCGATCCTGTTTGATGAACACACGCTCGCTGGTATCCCACACACTGCTGGGACGGGAGTCACTGCAGAAACAACGGCACCCGACCAGCATTTCAGCTGCCTCCTTCCTCCCAAGTCCTCGCTCCCTGAACCGCCTCCCCAGTGCAGGCGGTTCTCTGCTCCCGCTCGTATGCTGGAGGGTCATGGCTTCAGTTTTGAAGAAGTAAAAGCAGCTTCTCTTAACTGTTGATAAAACCCCCCAACAAACCAATCAAGAAAAGAGAACTGCTATTTAACCTTAAAAAAAAAATTAAGTTAGGAACACTTATTTCCAGGAACAATAAAACTGATGAAGTTATCACATACAAAAGAGCTCGTTGTTTTATTTTGTTGATCTAATTCTTCTGTCCACCAGGCACTGCGCATGGCCTAATTACATCTTTCTCCACACAAAGGGTTACTGTACTTAAAAAGTAGACTAGCATGAGTTGGCAGGATCGTATTTCCTCATCCACACAACTGCTATGCTTCAAGTTAGATAACTATACAAAAAACAGAAGCACAAATTACATCTCAACCCCAGGAGCAACTGAGGCAAAAATGTTTTTCCCTGAAGTCATTTTTAGCCATCTTTGTTAATCTGAATGAGCCAAGGAAATCAAAGAGATGCTGAGATAATAGCACCTGTATGACTCCAATAACACAGTTCTCTCTTCTCTGAGCCAATAATCAACATAATCAATATTCCCATGGAGTCTGAATACACAGTGTGGTAGTGGAATAGAATCTGTAGCAAATCTTGATCTTTTTGTTACAAACCTCAAGATACTTTCCGTGCAAGGTAAAAAGTGACCATAACCTCAGTGCAGCAAGCAGGAATTAGCTCCATTAACTGAGGCAAATCATAATTACCCAATTAGATACGCTATTCTGTCAGTAAAAATTAATTTCCTCTTTGCTAAGCTCTGGGTACCCTGACATAACTCTTATGATACATAAAAGGAGAAAGGAAGGACAAATGGACTTTTTTCCTGCTAAGTATGCAGGGATCCTTCCACATAAGCTTCTAGGAAGACACACGGACTCCACCTTAAAAGTGTTCCAGGCCTGCACAGGCAGATCTCACCAACTACTGCATTCTCCTGGGGGAATGGCTGTGCTCCAAGGCTCCAGTAAGCGTGACTGAATTACCATAGAATCAAGTCTGCTGGTACATTTTATAACGCATAGTGCACAACAACCCAACACATGCAAAAATAAAAGCCAAGTCTTGTGTGGGTCACTTCTATCTTTTCCCTGAATTTGTTTCCCTGGTTCAGAAAGATGAGCTACTTACCACTAGTCAGAATCCTAATTTTCTACCACATCCACCCCTCTGGACAATAACATGGAAGTTATGAAAAACTGTAACCAGGACATTGTACCTTTGCACAGCAGAAACTGAAGAGGAAGTGATTCAGCTCTCTGTTGTTAGAAATGAAGATGTATGAAAACCTACTACCCATTCTTCTCTTCCATATATACCATCAACTTAACCTGATAGCAACAAGTGTTAGAAACCTTACATTGGGGAAAGCCCTCAACGCTGAGGGCTCCCTCAGCCTGTCTCCCTCCTCTCTCCTTGTCTCCATACTCTCTAAACCATTTAACAGTCAACGTAAGCAACACGTTATCTTCTAATGTATCCAGGCTGCCTTTATTCCACTGATCAAACTTTGTACGACTTCTCTATTTATCTCCATAATGACTACAGTATCTAAGTGTGACCTTACAACTACCTCAAAATGGTTAGTTTGGTACTCAGCTAACGCAAGAGATTCCTTCCTTTTATGGTCCACCCAAGAAGTTCCAGTTTCTCTACCCTGAACACAAAGCTAACCTAAACGACTGCCTCAGAGGAAGATGTCTACAGTGGAGATGCCTGAAGTTAGTTCACTGAAATGAATACTGCAGCATCAAACCAGCTCAGCCTCATAAATGTCTCATCAGAGCATTCGGTGATAAATCACCTTTATTACCCACTCAAAAAACATTCCTCTAAAAGCAACAAAGCCATGTAATGTGCTCTGCGGGACAATCAGCCAAGCAAGAATCGTGTGTCATCTTTTGCATGAAAGATGATAGCACATCATCATAACTCCCTTTGTTACAGTTATATCAATTAATAAAGCTCTTCATTTGCAGGTGTGTCAGTAGCCAAATCACTGTCCTGTTCCTCATTGCTAATAAAGACAGCAAGGGAATGCTCGCTTGGATAAAAGTCCATTTGTTACGTCAGAAAATAAAATTTTGACAAATGAGTTAGGAAGCAGTACTACTGCAAGATGATTATCTACCATAAACAGGAAGATTAGCTAACCCAGTGCTCCAGAGAGCACGCGTCTTCCCCCATAAGATTAGATACGCTACATATTTCCCACAGTTTTGCCAAGCACTACTTACTAGACATCTCTGCAGCCCCTGCATAGGGAGGTGAAGAAAGGCTCCTTCTGAAAACATGCTCAGAGTTTTCGGTACCAGAAATCTTCAGCGTATCTGAAATTTAGAAACAAGTGTTACATGAATGTAAACACAAGGTACTCCCTAAAAAAATAAATTTCACTGACAGCAAGAACCTCTCACTACTCACTTTTTAAACCTATTAAAGGCTGTGTTAAACGTTTTGAAACACCATTGTTAAACATTGTTTAAACCTGCTTCCTGCTTTCTATTTAATTAAAGAAAAATTTCAGGTTCAGAGGCAAAATTCAACTCAATCGACTTTCCGGGCTTAGCTTCCATACTGACATTTCAACCTGAAAGCCTACACATACCCAGCAATTCTTCCGCTGCTACCTAGAGTGCAGAATTTTCACAGCTCCTCCTGTGAAGTCAACATTAGGAGCCACTTTTTTCCCCTCACCCCTCAATATCATTAACACCACAGCAAAAATTTCCTATTAAAGCTAAGGACTATCCAAAGACTTCAAACCTGAAACTGATTGAAGACAATCCCTAACTACTTTAAACAAGTAAAAATCCTCTGATGAATAGCACAACAATTAAAGAACATCAGAAAGGGCAGTTACTACACAGTTCCAGAAAGATTACCTAGTTCCAGTCCTTCCCTAGCTTTTTCAAACTTTTCCTCCTCTGATACATTAGACACTTGTCTTTTTACTGCTTTGCTCGAACTTCCTCCAGATGTTAAACTTGCCACAGAGGTGAGTGGGACGGCTTGGCTCTGCTGCAAGAAGCAAGGTGGAAAGACAAACATAAACCACACTCGTACAGGACTGGAGCCTGTATCGACGCCTGGGGTACCCCTCCCAGCTGCGGTGATCGAAGATTGCCAAGGGTGGCCTCGCAGCGATACCCGCCAGCTCCCTCAGCACGCCTGGGTGCATCCCATCATGGGCCGCGGATTTATGTCTGTTCAGTTTGCTTAAGTACTCCCTGAGCAGACCCTCTTCCACCAAGGGTACATCATCCTGTGACCTGTTCTAGGCAGAAGTGACCCAATATCACTAACAACCGTCAGGACTGCCGGAACATACCGACGTATGTGCACAGTGATGCACACACACCACTCTGAAGCGATGCACTTCTTCAAACTTCTGAAATTTAGGCTTGCCCACCTTCCCCCAATTCCCCAGGCATCAACGTAGGCTAGATTTTATGGGCCAGTTATAGCAAGTAATTCTCAAGTACTGTCGTTAATAAATTAATATGTAACATTTGCTTTACGATCTTCTGAAAAAAGGTAAAACTCTCTGTGCTCTGACTCAGAGTCAGAGCCAGACTGCACAGGAAGAACAGATAAAACGTACAACACACTTACACAATTGAAGAGCTCAGTAGTCAGACCAAGGTAGTTGTGCAGGGCAAGGAATGTCACTCTCTGCAGCCTTACCATAATGATCTAGAAATGGGAAATCAAGAGGCAATAGGAGTGGATTTAGCATTCTCCCACACTCGTTCTTGCATTTAGATACAGTTCTGTACCAGAGTACCTGAAGGCACTTTATAAAATACAGACTGTACCCTGAGCTGAAATTCCTTTTTAGCAGTTGATAAATTGAGGCAAAGATACATTCAAGTGATTTACCAGACACTTCACAATCATGCAATGGCACGAAATCTTACTCCCAAACACCAAATAATGCTTTTTGTTTTCTGTAAACATTAATACTAAACATGCCTTGAAGTAAAAGCATTTGCTTCCATTTTCCCCCCCATTAAAAAAATTACTCCACCTTTCCCCATACAGAGCCTGTACTACTGCTCTACAAGGACTCTAAACTAACAGAAGACATCCCTGCCACCTGACCTTCCTCTGCCCCAGCAGCTTATTCCCACTCCTAAGTCATCCTCTCTTTTGCATCAGCTCCCACAGAGCAAATTAAATTGCTCTAACGATCTGTTCTCCTCAACCACCAGTATTAGGAGGTTCATGTGTCACCCATAAATCACCCAGCTACCAGAGCAGTTTGCAAGGACAAAAAGATTTAGAAGCGACAGTAAAACAAAAGGACAGACCAGAATGACTGATCAGGTCACGTGCAGCCGTTTGACTATTATACCTGCGCGACAACGCGTCACTGGGCAAACTCTTCAAACTGAAATCGTTAACACACTGGTCCCTGCACTAGTTTCCACTTGCAGGATGTACAAGACATATTTGCAGGGCTCGCTTGAGAACTGTCTGAGCTCCTGCAAAGCAAGGGAAGGTGAACTGAAAACTAATACAAAGCACAGCTCTTTCCTCAGATGCTGGCAATTGCTCCTCGAGCGGAAATTCACCTGTCAGTCTGAATTTTGTGAATTTTACAAAGCATCACCCCTCAACAAACAGCTCCTGAGGGTACATCAGTCCTTTTTCAGAACATGCGACAGTTTCTTCCATACTCTAATCCATTTCGAAGCCTTGTTGGTGCATGAGCGTGACGCAGAGCCCATGCCAGCACGTTCTACGCCACCAGGACCGACAAGCTTACAGCACAGGCCAAGCTGATTCAAGAGGCTATCACACACAGAAACTGATTCAATGTGTGTGTCTGTATATATATAGATATATTAATTATTTCTTCCTGCACGTGATTAATGCTGAGATCATTACATCTAGGGCTCTGAGAGCAAGAGGAATAGCAGAACTAGTTCAAATCTTGAAAAGAAGCTATACTGAACAGGTCTGTATCCGCAAAAGGATGATGAGCTTGCTGAACTTCAAAATGTCTTCCTTGTAACGTTGAAAGTAGAGTGATTTTTTTTGCACCCAACCCCTCAATTCTACTTAACGATGAAGCTTACCTGTACCACTCTAACGAGAGTTTCAGGATATTTCTGGAAGACATCTTGAAAGGCACTCGCTGGAAGTCGCAATATAGTGGACGGAATAGCTGCTCGGGCTGAGACAGTTTTATAAGGAGCAGGGTGACCCTAATAGAAAGTTTCAGAGACACAAGTTTAATCCCCCAATTATCTGACCCAATTCTTCCCAATCCCTTCCCAAATTTTTGCTTTGATATTGTACATGCTTGACAGACGTCATTTGAACAGAAAGAGCCTTGAACTTATGCTCCACGACCTACAGGTGGTGTAATGAGGGCAGCGTGGTCAGGGGAATTCACACCAGCAATTTCACGAGCATTAAACAGAGGCAGAGGTAGTGAAATACAAGGCGGCGTATCGGGTTAAGGGGAACTGGCTGGCCTGTCAACTCTGTTAGTTTTCCTACAGACAAAGCCAGGCTTCAGAAGTATGTCAACTTCCAGCTATTCAAGACTGCAGAGAAAAGAGGCTTTGGTGATTTTATTATCTGTACTGACAACCAAGCTATTTGCTGCAATAATGATCATAGACTCACACAATCAGCAAAAAATAGAACAAAATTGTGGAGTAATTACATACTAAGTGGAATAAGACAAAAACCAGGCAGACTTATCTTCATATATATTCATATATATATATAAAATGACAAAGCCAAAGCTTCTCTTTACTTGAGATAAAGTGGGTCGAGACCATCCTGAGTTGCTCAAAGAACAGAGGAAGAATTAACAAACCAATGAAAGATAAAATTGTAAATGGGTGGAATACAGAGATTTTTTCACCGGAAGGCAAATCCTCTGCTTTAGGATTTTCTCCCTTGAACCAAAATAGATTTTAACAAAAATCTACTGCCGAACACTTGAATAAAAAACTCCAGACAAGACTTCTTCTACCCCACTAGTAAATGCTGAGAAGAGTATCTCTAAGTCATGAATTCATTTATGAATACATGAAACACTGATTTATCCACTATTTGTAAGATAAAAGTCCATTTGCAGTACGGAGCAGAGGCTAAGGAAGAAATGGATTTTCTTTTTTAACACAGCCACCTTGCAGCTCCTGAAGCTTTCATTCCTCCTGAGCAGCAGAAGGCAAATTTTTCCAAACGCTAAAACACACAGATGCTAAATGCTGATTACAAACAAAAAAACCTGCAAGTCTTCCAGAGCATCAGCCATCTAAACACAATCACTGCAAAAGAATTTCTGCCTAAAGAGCATGGTAAAACCAAACAAGATACGTTCTGTACAACTATAACCACTCTGGAAAATAAAGCTACAGCTCTGTTTGCCTCGCTGGTCTGGAAGTCACGATGAAGCAGATTCTAAAATTAAATTAAATTAATTGGAACCAATTTCTTAATTACACCAACTTGAGCTGACCTTTTTATAAAATCTGAGGATGATATTAATAGCTTTCATTTTCAAGTTCCTGAGCGATTTGAAATTTTAAACATCTCTTTGACCTACAGTGCAAAGCTACCAGGAGCCCTCAAGTTTTCCTGAGTTTCTTTTAATTAAGTAAAGGAATTAACAAATGACACTTCTGTGCTTTTGCTGTACTCAAAAATAAGTGCAACATTCCTCTTTTACCGGCCAATTTAAAGCCTGGCTTTAGACGAAGAAATCACTTGGAATTCTCCTTATACTCAAATGTAAAAGAATATGTATATAGTCTGCTTTTAAGTACATACATCGCTATACTTGCCATCAACTGAATTTCCTGCCAGGCTCTACACCAAATACATAGCAAAAGGAAATCTATTAAATCTTTAGTCTCTGGACAAAGGACAAGCATTAAGTTTAAGTGTTCCATAACAGTTATTCAAAAGGGCAAAATAAGCACTGTATATCACGTCTATACGGTCTACACTCTACCCAGGGAAGTATTTGGGTTTTTTTCTGAACACTGCATGTTTGAGGATAGACCAATGCTGACAGTCGCTCAGAAAACCAGTTTTAGGATAATAACGGATAATGATGCAGCAGCCTTTTTTCTCCAAAGAACAGCCTTTCCCTCTGGTTTTCCAGTATATAATTTTTCCTTTTCAAAATCCCCGCATGAAAGCAGCCTGCTTTTGAAAGGGCCAACCACCACGTCTAATTGGTTTGGAACTCGCTAAAAGTCGTCAGAGGAATGCGAAGAGGAACTGTTTCCATAATTGTCAGTTCTCTCAAATATAACGTAATCAGCTGCACACAGAGAATATCACATTTAAATTATAATATTTTACAATAACACACGGAGGTCACAAGGAACAGTTAAGTTATAATCAGTAGTGAACCAGGACTTCTCAACAGAGAACTTTTTGTTCTCAGTGTGGATAACTATTTACTTCTGTCTTGCTCTAATAGCTGTGGAGTAATTAAATACTGCAGGTGACAAATGTCACAGCTAAAGTAGAGGTTAAATCCAGAGGACAGCAATGGCCAAATCCAAATGAATTTGGTTAAGAAACCTGCTACAGGAGACAGAAGTGCCTTACATTCTCCCATCTGGAGTGGTAACTCCTCTTTGTACCCAAAAATCTGGCATATTCTCTCTATTCCCATTGCTTGGGTTTCATTTTCCTCTGCTCCTACCTGCCATCGTTCACACGACATCGACACTGCTGCAACCCAAAGGTCTGGCAGCAATCAGTCGTTTCTTTATAACCTCATCTATCTTGTCCACTGTCATTTAAACAGACTTGCGCCCTGCAGGCTCACCTTTATCCAAGTGGTTTTTCAGCTTCTTTTAATCCTCAGACTTTCATTTTTTTCCCCTCCAGCCGCTGGCAATTGATCAATACTCCTCCCAGTCTCTCTTTCATTGCAACTATGCCAGATGCTCACAGTTTTCCAAATATCATCTCCACATGGAGGACAAAGGAAGAGTAAAACGCAAAGCCCTGGCAATCGGCATCAAACGCTGTCTCTATTTATCCCATTTAATTCTGAATGAAAATTCCCCGTTCAGGAAACTGCCCTGACTCAGCAACAGCTTCTGAAAACACTCGTGTGGACATCAGCAACGTCCAAAGTTCAGAGACTGCTCTAATATTTGAGGCACTATCAATTCAGAGTCAGATTAATTACAACAGAGAATTGTTCCCAAATCCCAGGAAAGGGCTAGATTCTACCTGGATTCAAAGCCTCCAATTTCTCCTTCGAGTTTTGAGAAAGCAGCATTTATCTGTTCTCAGAATAAGGGAAATACAGCACAAGCCTCTTAAGTCAGAGCCGGTAGCTTTGTATTTAGTAGATCTAAGGGAACTTTTAAATTTAAAAAATTGGAAAATTAAATTAGAAAAGTACCTCTTGTATGACCTTTCTTTTAGATCCACCAAGAGTTTGCCACTTTTTGCAGCAACCTCAATCTTCTTGCACATCTCTTAAGCAAGTGGGGGACCAGACTGACATCGTATGTTACAAAATCAGTCAAAATAAATAAAATTTAAAAAATCACAACTCAAACCCTCTCTGAATACATCCTTTCTTCGTGTCAGATCCACATGTTTGGTGGTACAGTGAAATTTAATTTAGTTGTGGTATGCACAGGCAGCTCTAAGACTCATTCACTAATTTAAAAAGCCACTGAGAAGTCTCCTCTATTTTGATCAATGCTACTTTCTTTTTCCTTGCCCATTTTCATGCTACATCTATACCCAGAGTCAGTAAGGAGCACAACGAAGAGAAGAACTAAGAACAAAACCAGTTCACAAAGCTGGGAAACAAGGGAGAAAAGAGGGAGTTGTAGAAATAAATGAGAACAAGTTACTTTAGCAAAAAAATTTGCAAGGTCTTTGGTTATGTACTCTTCTGCATGCTGATAATTCTTTCAACACACTTTCAATAATTTAGATTTTCTGATTCACCAGTGGTATCAGTAATGAGAAACAGAAAAAAAAATGATAGATTGAGAATAAAAAAAAAAAACCAAAACCAAAAAACCCAAAACCACACAATACAAAATGAATGACAACCACCCTTTAAAAAAGACAAAACCACAAACCATTGTTATACAAGAAGGATTTCTTCTTGTTTATTCAAAAAGAATATGGGAAAAGATGACGACTAGTATTCATGTTCCTACGCGGTCATCCTGCTCTTTAGAATACTGTCATTACGAAAATTTACTGGTGGAAGTAACAAAGGCAAAGATACCTCTAAATCTGCTGTTAATACGGATTTGACAGCGAGAACTAGACTTGTACAGTCCAAATTACTCATGTGCCATTACCTTCTACAGAAGAAAGTGTGACCAAGCTTAAAAATTGTTTATCACTTTCGATAGGTTTTATGGAAACAAAACCCCCCTATATCTATATCTGCTTGAATCTGAGAGTGGCAAAGAACACTGTACAGAATCATTAAAACTACTTACACACAGAATAACAGAACCCTTTCATGACAGGAGACAGCCAAGCACAAGAGAAACATAATCCAAGGTCAAATACGAACAACTTATTGATTAGATTATCTTCATCCTCTCAGCTATCAAAACAATTTAAGTAAAGCACTGTAAGTGCTTGCATGTTATTGAAGATGATGAATTCACCACCTTCCATTTAGGTATTCCTAAATAGATGCACTGTGACAATTTTAGCAAAACCATCATTGTAATTCTAACCGAAACAAAATCCACACCACTAATTTGTGCAATAAATATGACCAGCATTTAGCTCATCTTGTCGCCTGTCAAAGAGCACAACCTTCAGATGGTCACCAGCAACATGAACATATTAGAAAAAAATTAAATCCATCAACTGGTTTCACAGTATAATTACAATAATAACAACTGTCAGATTTATTTTCGTTAGTCTAAATAAAAATAAATTCAGTAAGTAACAGATCAAACAGTGTACAAGCCTGGACTTCTGGGCCCTAACCTGGTCCTCCTCCCGACTGCTTTGTGACCTTGAGCAAATCACACACTTTTCCAGCCATAAAAGAGTAATTCAAACCCTACTGCTCATCAGAAACAGCTAGCGTTACACCATCAAGCATACGCGTTTCACAACCAACTAACACACCGCAGAGCTTAGTTTACAGTTGTGAAGGCCTGGAAGGAGGAAAAGAATTGGTCAAAGAAACATTTTCCATCCTGATTCTTTCCCAGCAATATTCAAAGTCTGCTCCCCTCGACAGGCTCTGGGACATAAAGCGGCACCTGCACGTTCAAGAACTTACCGTGATAACATCAAGAATGCTGAGAAGGCTGTGGACGCTGTCTCCTGCCAGCACCTCCTTAACAACCACTTCTGTTCCATCCTGCAAGCATAGGACAGAAGATGACTGCAGGCTCACAGTCACGTATTTGGCATATTTGGAGTATTTTCCAAAGTGTGACTTGCTCTCGTTCTCCCAGATACTCTGAAGGGCCCTAACAGGAATGGTCCCCCGTTATAACCCGGATGCTTGTTCTCTCTGCTCTGATGGAAACATGCTAATTCAAACCATCAAAGTTTTTAACTACCATTGTAAAAGTGATAAATGAAAAGAAACTAAAAGCCAGTTTTGTCTAAGGGGAAATGTGACCTATGTGTCTTTGCTATGTAACAACCAAAACCAAAATGTTTCCTTCACTCTGAGAAAGAATTAGCTCTCTTCATCGAAGGATTACATGATTACAAGAGGTAGTACAAAACAAACAGCAAAATACAAAAATATACAGAAATCAGCAAGTTTAGGAGAATTTACAAACACAAAACCCTGCATTTGCAGCCCAGAAAACTGTTCACATGTTAAAGCTAAACTCAAAGTGCAGTCAGGAAGAAGGGTGGGGGGCAAGGGGGGTGGAATCTAAATTGGCAGAAGGGATCGAAAGGGCGAGCACTCAGCGTTTTACCCTGGAGAAGAGGAGGCTGAGGGGAGACCTGATCACTCTCTACAACTGCCTGAAAGGAGGCTGTAGCCAGGTGGGGTTGGTCTCTTCTCCCAATAAGAAGCGATGAAAAGCGATTAAGAAATGGCCTTAAGTTGCACCAGGGGAGGTTTAGATCAGGTATTAGGAAAAATTTCTTCACCAAAAGGGTTGTCAAGCACTGGAACAGGCTGCCCAGGGAAGTGATGGAGTCCCCATCCCTGGGAGGATTTAAAAGCCGTGTAGATGTGGTGATGGGGACATGGGTTAGTGGTGGCTTTGGCAGTGCTGGGTTAATGGTTGGACTTGATGATCTTACAGGTCTTTTCCAACCAAAATGATCCTATGATTTTAAGACTCATCTATAACACAAGCCATTTCTTTTCCCTGCCTACCCAAAAATTAATCTGAATCTTCCATCTCCCAGGCAAACCCGCTAACTACCATGCTAGAATATTATGGCGTGAAAGCGTACTTGGGTTCTCCTGCTCTGCATACCCAACTGTTTTACACAACTACCATCCAAAAGGAGATTCCAATGCTATGCAGAGCCAGCCCTGCATCCCATCCTCCCTCAATAACTATGCAACTAGAGTATGCGAGGACATTTCACAACACCTGATCAGCATTGTGTTTCGCTCTCTCATCTAAGAAACAGGGCACCACAGCTCAAAACCTTGATCTTTATAAATATCATGGCCCTGAAGGGTTGGAAGTAATCCTTTCTAAATCACTATGATTCAAATGTCTAAGTTTAATCAATGCTAAATGATTCATGCCAACAGATTTCTCTCAAGAACCACAGGTAAGTTTTTTTCTTACATTTTCTTGAATGCAAACTTCCAGCTTGCCATCCTGCACAACGTAGATGCTGTTATCCAGCTGCCCAGGACGAAAGATGTATTCACCTTCATGTAATTGCACAAAAAACATATGCTTGCACAGTTCCAGGAAAAGAGGTTTCTCAAAGTGGCCAAGGACCCTGCAGGAAAGAAAATGCAAAGAGAAA